TTCCGACTGACCCAACCCGAGTTAGACGAACGGAGGAAGCAACTCGATTACCTGCTCGAGAAGGAATTCATTCGCCCTAGTTCGTCGCCCTTCGCCGCACCCATACTGTTCACACCGAAAAAGGACGGGGGTTTTCGCATGTGTATCGACTACAGGGCACTGAACAGAGTTACCATCAAATCTCGTTACCCCATCCCACGAGCCGACGAACTGATCGACCAACTGCGCACAGCCCGGGTTTTCTCGAAAATTGACCTCCGGGGAGGCTACCACCAAATCCGCGTCAACCCACCCGACTGCCCTAAAGCCGCATTCCGAACACGCTACGGATCCTTCGAATACACTGTCATGCCATTCGGACTGACCAACGCCCCCGCCACTTTCCAAATGACCATGAACGAAGCATTTCGCCCGCTTTTAGATAAGTGCGTCATCGTTTATCTGGACGACATACTGATTTACAGCCCTGACAGAGCACAGCACTTACAAGACATCGAAGCAGTCTTTAAAATCCTGAGTGAGAACCGCCTACTGACCAAAGCATCTAAGTGTGAGTTTTTACAGGACTGCCTGGAGTTTTTGGGACATGTTATTTCAGCTGCAGGAGTGGAAATAGACCCGAAGAAAATTGCAACGATTCAGGCTTGGCACGCGCCGACCAACTTGACCGAGTTGCAGAGTTTCCTGGGGTTCGTCAACTACGTGCGCCGGTTCGTCCCCGACATGGCGAAGCTGACTGCCCCGTTGACTGACCTGCTGAGGAAGGGGGTTGAGTACACGTGGGGGGAGAAAGAGCAAGCTGCCTTCTCGGCCCTCAAAACTATTTTGTGCTCCCCGCCCGTCCTTCACATTGCAGATCCCCACCGTCCGTTCGAGCTCGTCACCGACGCAAGTGACATCGCTGTGGGAGCAGTACTGTTGCAGGATTTCGGGAACGGCCTCCAGCCAATCGCGTACGAGTCCCGCAAGTTACACCCGCCCGAACGTAACTACCCGATACACGACCGCGAAATGCTAGCGATCGTGCACGCGTTCAAAGTTTGGCGATGTTACCTGACTGGCGCCGACGTGACAGTACGGACAGACCACCGCTCGCTACAGTATCTTCGCACCCAACCGAATCTCAACCCACGACAGATTCGCTGGTTGGACTATCTCGAGTCCAATTTTCACTACACCGTTACGTACAAAAAGGGTGCATCCAACATCGCCGACGCTCTCACCCGCCCCACCGCCCAACTCCATGCCATCCTACTCGCCCAGACCAACCCGCTTTTAACTGGCCTATTCACCCACGGATACCGCACCGACCCATTTTTCACGACCGGAAATTCCCAGCAACTGGCAGAAGCAAAAGGAGTCTATTACGTAAAAACAGGCACCAACCGCATTTGGGTACCCGCGTACTCACTACTGAGGGAGCTGCTACTACAGGAGGCACACGACGGGATTACCTCGGGACATTTTGGGGTAGAAAAAACGCGACAGCAACTGCAGTGGTACTATTACTGGCCGGAACTGTTGACCGACGTACAGCAGCACGTGGGCTCGTGCCCGACGTGTCAGGTGATGAAGAGTTCAAGGAAGCGGAAGGCGGGTCAATTGCAGCCGATCCCACCGCCCGAACGCGCCTGGCAGCAAGTAACCATGGACTTCGTCACAGGGTTACCTTCGAACCCTGGGAGTAACGACGCGGTGATGGTCGTCGTGGATAGGCTGACGAAGATGGCACACTTCGCTGCGTGCAAAAAGTCGATCTCAGCCGAGGAAACCGCTCGCCTGTTCATCGCAGCCGTTGTTCGCCTGCACGGGATACCAGCAGGAATTTTTCAGCGACAGGGACACGAAATTTACCAGCAACTTCTGGAAGAACCTCTGGGAGCAGTTCGGGATCAGGCTACAGTTCAGTTCGTCGTACCACCCCGAGACCGACGGCCAAACGGAGCGGACGAATCAGACGATGGAGCAGTTGATTCGTGCCACGTGCGACGACCCCACGACCTGGGAGCAGCAGCTGCCGCTGATCGAGTTCGCGTACAACAACGCCACATCAGCCACGACGCAGCAGTCCCCGTTCTACCTGAACTATGGGCAGAACCCCACAGTGCCCATGACGCCGAGTCCGGACAACCCAACGCCACGCGCACAACAATTCGCCGAAATCCTGCAAGCTGCCCGCGCCAGAGCTGCCGAAGCAATAAAAAAGGCCAACGTCATCGCTAAGCGCAACGCTGATCGCCACCAGCCGCCCCGTCACGTATCAATCTGGAGATTACGTGCTACTCGACACGCAAAATCTGCGACTGCCCGACGTACCAAAATTACGACCACGCTACTGTGGACCATTCCAAATCAGTCACATGATCACACCCGTCACCGCACACCTACTATTGCCAACCGACTGGTACATCAGCCCTTCGTTCCACGTCAGCCTACTTCGCCCATACATCCCGACCACAAGTCAACTGCCGCGTCACCGGCCACAATCAATGACTCGCCCCGCATCAGAGCCGATCATCGAGCCCGAAAAAATTCTGAGCCATCGGATCCGCCACCCCACGGGAATCAGGAGGATTGAATTCCTCGTTCGCATGGAAAGACCGCACGCCAACTGAAGATAGCTGGGTGCCCCTGAGCAACATCGACAATCACCCTGCCCTGCAAGTGTACCTGAGGAGCCGGGGATTCCGCGATATACACGCACTCGCGTAGCGGAGGGGGCTTCTTGAGGGGGGGGGTAGTGTAAGGAATTTTCTCGGCATTCCTTACGGCGCCGACTACATCGCGTACAGCAACAGCCGATTGTTCGCCCGTTCCTGCTAACGGAACTTCGCCGACTTCGCGCGCACTGTTTTACCAAACCTCGCACTGCTGGCATGGCCGTATCGGCCTACGCTTCGGGACTAGCCCGAGCCTCGCTCCAGCGTAGCACTAGCAAGCTCGCACGCACCGCGTTACCGTTTTGCATGTTTCGCGTATAAATGTTCGCTCATGCCTTCGCTCACATTTTGTACTCGTTTGACACCTTAGTGCAATCCTCGCTACCCTCGATTCATTGCACCCGTAACAAATATCAATGTCCTCTCACAACATCGGTCACCTCACGTCACCTCACGCGTTATGTTTCGTCCAGTGTTATGAATGAACTTGCAGAGTGCGCTGTAAAACGAATAACGAGAATGATTGAGTACTGAATTACTGAATGAAGAAACAATGGAAGTAGCGAGGCCTAAATAGGGGAAAAAATCCGCGATTGGAGCGGAGGCCGACTCGGGGGTGGTTCGGTCCGACGAAATAGGCCCAACAGGTTCGTCGCGTGACCCTCGGGATATCCTCGCTAACGAGTGCCTCAGTAAGGATTGTAAATCCTTACATCCAGCATGAGTTTTAGAAAGCCAAAAAGAGGGGGTTTCTTAAGCTACCACCTCTGTTTAAAAATTGTTTGCTGATGCTATGCATAATGGAACCTAGCTTCACCAATGTGAACCACTTGTAGCTGTAAAACAAATCATTCAATTGTGCAAAACACCTGCCCCGAGTGAGGATCGAACTCACGACCTTAGGATGGCTCCGTCCCATTGTGCGGGAGTCGGGCAGCTATGAGACCTACGCGCTACCGACTGCGCCATCGAGGCTTGCTACCACCGCGAAGTTTTAATTTGATAAATACAACGCGTTTTCCTGCGAATGAGCTCGAGCTGTCAGATTTATTATTCGCACTGATGCCTTGCAACTCCGTGAAATCTCGGATTCCCGAGGGGGTGGAAGTGATAGTATGCGACGACGACTTCGACGAAGAAGTGACGGCGACCAACGGTCCCGCTGACCGGAATCGCGACTGTAACCCTCTTATAGTACGCTACGAGGATGAAGAGGAGGAAGAGGAGGAGGGATACGTGGAGTCTGAAGAGGAAGAAGAGGAGGATGATGACGATTTAGTGATGCTTGACAGTGATCCCAATACACGTATTCCGACCAACTCTGTCAGTGTTACCAACGCGCACCGCGTGTTTTCCTCCCGCACAACACTCGAAGACCCAACTGCAGCGCGAGAGGCGTCCGCTCGAGAGGCTTCAACTGTAGCTGGTGGTTTACGGACCGGATTAGGACCTAGTTTAGAACCTCGTGCAGTAACCAACTTAAGATGTAGTTCAGAGGCTGGTTTAGTGACAGCAGCAACAAGCGACAGATGCTTGGATGCTCGAACGTCGCAGCCTATAGCAGCAAGCAGAAGCAGCAGACGCTTAGACGATCGAATATCGCAGGAACCGGCGGAGCATGATTGGCCGAATGATGGACACGTTGTTTATAACGAAGGAGCTGTCAGGCAGCGCGAGAGACGTGCTTGTAACGAAGCGGAATCTGACAAGGCAGCTGAAAGGAACGTGAATCTGGATCGAGGAGTTGGTGGACAGGAAGGAGCAGATGAGCTGATTGGCAGATCAGCAGGAAGAATCTGTATAGATCCAACGGCTAGGATTTCAGTTGCAGCAGAGGAGCTCGGTAGGACGTTTCAGTCTCAAGCAGAGGAGCACAAGCGGTTCAGATCCCGTCAAACGGACGGACGTGATTGTTTAGATGGAGCAGCTGGCGTAGACAACGGTCAGGGGGCTTCTAGAAGGTTCGAGAATGGTTGGAATTCGGGAATGAGCTGTGAAGGGTTGGAGAATGAGGAAAGGATAACAGGGATGAGTAATGATGCAGATATGAGGGGAAGCGAGGGGAATTGCGTGAAGGAGAGGACGGATGCTGCTCAGATTCTTGATGATTCTAAGCAGCAGATTGAGTATGAATTCGCTGTTGAGGAGCCACCGGAGGCATCAGGTTCAGGAGGAGGAGACGATGTGGAAAAAACGGGAGGGGGAGGAGATAGAGGAGGAGACGGTGGAGAAGGAGGAGGAGCAGGTACAGAAGCATCAACAGTGCTGACAGCAGCCCGGGTAACGACAGATGGGTTCAGAGATGGGGATGGTGGTGATGCAAAGAATGAAGGTGACAATATGGAGGATGACAACTTTAGAGGTGACATTACGGAGGATGAAGATTTGAGAGGTGACAATAGTGAAGGTGTTACTAATGTCGCTACTTGGCAGAAGAATGATGACGACTCGAGTGATGCTGCTGCTACTTTAGCTGCTGCTCTTGCCTCGGCCTATGGGGGGGTGGACGAAGGAGACGAGGAGATGGGGGAGGAGGAAGAGGAGGAGGAAGGAGCAGAGGAAGCAGAGGAATCAAAGGGTGCAGAGGGAACAGAGCGAGCAGAGGAAGCAGAGGGAACTGAGGGAACAGAGGGAGGAAGGGAATCAGCGGGAGCAGAGGGAACAGAGGGAGCAGAGGGAACAGAGGAAACAGAGGGAGCAGAGGAAGCAGGGGAAGCTGAGGGAACAGAGGGAGCAGAGGAAGCAGCGGGAGCGAATGATTTGGTGTGTGGCGATGCAGAGGACATGAGGCGTATGTGGGATTCTGCTGCCCTGCGTGCTGCTGCTGCTGCTGATGTTGCTCCTTCTGATCCTGCTGCTCCTGATGCCACTGCTTGTGCTACTGCTCCCGATGCTGTTGCTCGTGGTGCTGCCTCTGAGGCTGCTGCCAATGCTTCTGCTCCTTATGCTGCTGTTGGTGTTGCTGCCGATCCTGCTGCTGGGGGGGCTGCTCCTGATTTTACTGCCGGCACTGCAATGACAGGTGAACATATAACAGCACCAGCATTCCTAGCAGCAAGCAGGAGAACAAAAGTGACAACGTTCTTGGGACCAGTGGCACAAGGTCTGAGTGAAGGCAGCTTCCAGGAAGTAGGTGGCGAGGGTGCAAATGATGGTGGTGACATGATGGAGGGTGACAATATTGAAGGTGCTACTAACGTCGTGGGTCGGCATGAAAACGACACCAGTGGTGCTGATGCCTGTTTTGCTTCTCTGCTTGCCATGGCGTATGGGGGGGTGGATGGGGAGGAGGAAGCGGAGGAGGAGGGAGGGGTTGAGGTAGAGGAGGGGAGAGTGAAGGGGAGGGAGGCAGAGGAGGAGATGGATGAACAGGAAGAGGAGGAAGAGGAGGAAGAGGAGGAGGAGGATGAGGATGATGATGATGATCTGGTGTGTGGTGATGCAGAGGACGTGAGGCGCATGTGGGAAGCTGCTGTTCCTGATGCTGTTGTTAATTTTGCTGCTTCTGGTGCTGTTGTTGCTGTTGCTGCTGCTGTAGAGGAAGCAGATGAGGATGAAGAAGCAAAGGCAGAGGATGATGATGATGATGATCTGGTGTGTGGCGATGCAGAGGACATGAGACGTATGTGGGAGGCTGCTGCTGCTGCCAACGCCGCTGCTCTGCGTGCTGCTGCTGCTGGTGCAACTCCTGCTGGCGCCGCTGCTGCTGCTGCCGCTGCTGGAGCCGGTGAAGGGGATGCAGGAGGGGAAGAAGAGGAGGAGGAGGAAGACGAGTACGAGGAGGAAGAGGAGGAGGAGGAGGAGGTGATGGTTGGTGATGCGGAGGAGATGAGGCGAGTGTGGGAGGCTGCTGCTGGTGGTGCTGCTACTGATGCCGCTGTTGATTTTGCTGCCATTGCTGATGCTGCTGCTGGTGCTGGTGCTGTCCGGGGTGCAGGTGGGGAAGAAGAGAAGGAAGAGGACGAGGAGGATTTGGTGGTTGGTGAAGCGGAGGAGATGAGGCGAGTGTGGGAGGCTGCTGCTAAGGCGAGGCAAGCCAAGAGGCAAGCGCAGTGGCACATGGAGCAGCAGCGGCAGCAACAGCAGCAGGGGCAGCAGCAGCGGCAGCAACAGCAGCAGGGGCAGCAGGGGCAGCAGCAGCGGCAGCAACAGCAGCAGGGGCAGCAGCGGCAGCAGGGGCAGCAGCAGCAGCAGCGGCAGCAACAGCAAGGGCAGCAACAGCAGCAGCAGCAGCAGCAGCAGCAGCAGCAGCAACCGCAGGGACAGGAGCAGCAGTGGCAGCAGCAACTGCAGCACCAACAACAACGGCAGCAGCACCACCACCACCACCACCAGCAGCAGCACTCCCAGCAGCGGCAGCAGCAGCACCACCACCAACAACAACAACACAACCAGCAGCAGCAGCACCAGCAGCAGCAGCATCGGCAGCAGCAGCAGCATCAGCACTACCAGCAGCAGCAGTGGGTTGAGGCTGAGAGTCTTAGCAGCGATGAGGACAAGGGTCAAGAAGAGCTCGCTGGTAGCAGCTCTAGCAGCCCTGAGGACAGCAGTCATGCTGAACTCTCCTCGTTTGTTGCTGCCTCGTTTGGAGGTGCTTCGTTTGGTGCTTCTTTGTTTGGTGCTGCTTCGTTTGGAGTCAAGGGAGTCAAGGGAGTGAAAGGGGTCAATGGAGTGAAGGGAGTAAATGCAGTCAAGGTTACAGGTAGAGGGGCAGAGCAGGGAGCAGAGCAAAGAGCAGAGCAGAGGGCAGAGCAGAGGGCAGAGCAGAGGGCAGAGCAGAGGGCAGAGCAGAGGGCAGAGCAGAGGGCAGAGCAGAGGGCAGAGCAGAGGGCAGAGCAGAGGGCAGAGCAGGGAGCAGAACAGAGAGTGCATGGGGTTCGGGGAAGAGGGGGAGTAGGGCGTGGGGTTTGGAAGGGTGGGCATGGAAGGTTTGATGCAGTTGATGTTGATGACTCGGATCCCAGTCACACTGACTCAGCTTCAAGCTGTGATGAGTCAGACGCCTCCACTGCTAAGGCTAGGGCGAGCAGGCGTGAAGCAGCTGCTGGGCGTTCAGCTGCTGCAGGAGGTGCGGGGAGGGGTGGGGATGGTGGGACTGTTGGGATTGGTGGGATTGGTGGGACTGGTGGGGGTGCTGCAGCAGGTGGGGGGACTGGTGGTGCAGTTAGGGGTGGCAGCAGTGGGTCAGAAGGGAGCTTTGAGGCGCGGGTTTTCAGAGCGTCTGCAGCCCAGCGGGCTTCTGGTGAAGGGATGATGGGAGGGCGGAGAGTGGTAGGTAAGAGAGGAGCAGACGGGTCAGCAGAAAGGGCAGGAGAAGGGGCGGCAAAAGGGGCAGCAGAAGGAATGTACGCAGCAGTTGACGGGGTGACAGAAGCAGCTGGTTACAGAAAGGCACAAAATACAAAAGCAGCAGATACGGCAACGGCTGTCGCTGCAGCAGAGAGGATCGGGGGGGAAGCGGGAGCAAGCATGGGCGCAGCAGGAACTGAGAGAAAGACAGCAGCAGGAGAAGCTGCAGACACTACAGGAGCAGCGGACAGGAGAGGGGTTGGAGCTGCAGATGGGAGAGGGGTTGAAGCAGCAGAGAGGAATTGCGTAGGAGTAGCAGGCAGGGGTTGGGTCGAAGCAGCAGCAGCAGCAGCAGCAGCAGCAAAAATGGATGTGGAGAGAGAGGGAGGCACAGCAGCAGGAGCAGCAGAGGAAGAGGAGCAGCGGCAGGGGAGTTTGAGTGGAGAGAAGAGGGAAAGGCGGAATGGGTTAAGAGAGACTCAAGATCTAACTGGAGGGTCCGATGGAGGGCACAAAACGCCAAAGAAGCAAAGGAGGGATGATGGATTGAAGGATGGTCGGATGACGGATGGTGGGATGAAGGGTGGAGTAGACAAGACGGAGAAGAGAGAGAGGGAGGTTGCGGTAGGGGATAAAGGAGATGGTGCACTAAGGAGACATGAGAGGGGGGAGGAAGCCAAAAAAAAGAAAGGATGGAGAAAGGGAAAGAGAGGAGAAACAGGGAGAAGATCAAAAGGAGAGGGAAGGAGAGGGAAGGAAGGAGGGGCACAATGGGGCCATAGGAACAGCTGTCGCAGGAAAGGCAAGAATAGGAGAAGCAATGGCAGGAGCAGCAGTGGCAGGAGCAGCAACGGCAGGAGCTGCAACGGCAGGAGCTGCAACGGCAGGAGCAGAAACAACAGGAGAAGCTACGACAGGTGTAGCCGTTGGTGGAGCAGCAGTGGAGATGGGGAGAGAGGCTATGCGGCAGAGTGAGGGGTTTCAAAGTGTGGAGGATGAGGAGTGGAGGGAAAGGCAGAAGGTGCTGCAGCAGCAGGCGGAGGAGGCTCAGGCTGAGAAGCGAAGGAGGAGGGCGGAGCGTGCCGAACGTGAGAGGCTGGAACGGATGCAGGCTCGGCAGCAGAAGCGAGTGGAGGAGGTTCGGCAGCAGCAGGAGCAGGTGAAGGGAGTGTCTTGAATCCTCTTCATTCTTCTTCATTTTCCTTTGTTCATTCTTCTTTATGCTTGGCGGCCTTCATCCTTCAACATTCTTTGTCTGTCAAAAATCAGGGAAAGTCCTGCGTGTGCTACTCATTCCTGCTGCTCTACTCACGTGTTTCCACTTGCCTCTTGCTTCTATCTGGTTGCCATGCCACTCCTGCCAATCTATCCCTGCTTCCTTCTTTTCCGTTCTCTTTATTTCTTGCTTCTTTCTTTGATTTGCCTGCTACTGCGAACAACAGGCCGTGATCGGTAGCAGCTGAGAGTATAGGTGCAAATTGTTCCCTTGCAGCACCTGACTGGCCGGTGTGTCTGCTCCTTCCCCTGCTTGACTCTCGCCTGACTCCCTGCTTCCCTTCTTGCTCCTTTCAGGTCGAGAGGGCATCTGGTCTAAAGGAGCAGCTGAGAGCATCAGTCCACACTGACCTTGCCAAGCGCATGGCAGGGTGCCGTGACTTTGCGTCAGTCCTTGATAAAATCGGGATAAAAGTGGATGGCATGCCGCAACCATCCACTCAGCAGGTGAGAGACACACTTTGTTTTTCTTCGGGATGCCCTTTTCTCAATCGTTTTAGTGATATTTCACCCAATACCTCGCTCGATAATCGTGTGGAAACAGTGTGATCGTTGCTATAAAAACTGGCACCTGACTCATTCAACTGACTCGTTGCTTGCTTGTCCTGTTGCCCACTCCTCGTGCCTGCCAGGTTGAAGCATCTTTCAAGAAGGCGCTGCTTCGGTATCACCCGGACCGGATGGCGAGGCTCGGAGCAGGGGCGGACGTTCGGAAGCAGGTAGAGGCAGAGGAGACCTTCAAGATGATGCTGGAGAAGAAGAAAACGCTTCCCCTTGTTGCACCACCGCCTGCCCCACCTGCTGCTGCCCCAGCTTACCCAGATTTTGGTCTGCCCAAGTATCACAAGTTTGGCAGGAGACGTTATTATTACTAACCAACATACATATGTGAACTAGTTTGTAACAACACATGCTGCTAGATACTCACGATGTAAAACGTTCCGACATTCCATTGTATTCAATGTTCTGCTCACTAAAGTGTATGATTGATTAAACCCCGTCAAAAATTTCATAATGTTCCATACACAAGTAAATAGCACAGATATCCTCCTCCATGGTTGCTAATTAGAAAATGCGTGACGTGCCCTATGTTGTTGTGCAACTGGTATGGGAAGAGAATATAAGGGAACACTATGACTTGTGAGTACACCCAGCATCTCCATACAGTACATCTACTGGTCCGATGAACATCCCCCGTACCTCATGGCACCGAATCACTGCTTCGCAAGGGGGTCGTCGTACACGCGTAACCGCACGGGATCCTCATACACGCACAGTCGCACAGGCGTCGTCGCACACGCGTCAAACGCAATCGGCTCACAAAGATAAGACCCTGGGTTAGCTTTCTGAAACCCCTCACAAACGTGTTGGAACGAATCTACACCCTTCGTTACCGCAGTAACGGAACTTTCACATAAGCTCACGACAAGTGACTCTGGCAAGTAGGAACTTTCACACCCGCTAACATCGCACGTCACTATTCTCATGGAATGAAATGTAGATCAAAGGATGGGTATGCGATTATTCCTAACATCATCGCTCCATACGCGGACGCGTTGTCTAGCCAGCCGTTCCGCGCCGAATCGGCGGGGCACGGCGGCCATATGGCGGCAATGGCGCAGCGGTTCCCCGCATGTCACCGCTGCTGGCGGCGACTGAGCTTCCTCGCGTGTCCATGGCGGCGAGTCGTCGTCGCGGTGTGCCCCTTTGGGCGTTACATGGAACGGGCGAGCTGTGAAGGGTCTATCTGGCCAGGAGCGATCCGGCCAGCATTACGCGTCTCGTGTGCTCATAAATACGGGCTTGGTCAGAACCTACATACATCACAACGGTTTGGCAGCAACCTAATACGACGACGACCTAGCTTTCATCACGACGAAATACTTCAACAACGATAATACCAGCTGTTACAGAGCGCCTCAGAAATTCCAACCAGCCCATACCATCCAGCTCAGAATCATCCTTAATAATCTCACACTCAACGATCAGCGTGTACACCCTTAACTTTCAAGGGCGATACCATCCGCAAGGCCCAGTTACGTGTCTGAAGCTCGTAGCAACCCTCCGGAAGACCTGAAAAAGCGTTCTACATTCGAAGCGATTACCGGAGATGACGTCGCGACTCGGAGGCGGCTTGCTCCTCGTAGCAGTCATGTGCGTGGCGGCGGCGTGCGCTCCGACGAGCTGCGCGCAGCCTCCTCCGCCGACGAAGGCGCAGCTGCGCGCGGAGCTGCAGAGCATGGCGAAGAGCATCGTGAAGCGTTACCCGCAGTACTCGCGATACGCGCAGGACGCCACCAAATACATCAACTTCGCACGTAAGCCCTTGCACCAGCGACTACGTGGCCAAGTACCTTGAATCCCTCTTTGTTTCGCTAACCAAGTTGCCCGTTTCGTGCTCATTCCCGTCTTGTCTGGGCCAAGTTCCCTCCCCTTCCCCCAACGCCCCACTTTCCCCTCTTTGTTTCCGAAATTACTCTCTGTGCCTTCCTTCTCCCCTCTTTCCCGCTCTCCATCCCCCTCCATTCCCCCACCCGCCCCCTCCCTTGCCTCCTTCCCGTGCACACCCCCCCCCCCCGCCCTGCCCCTGCAGTGAACTCAAGTACGACCTGTCGGCGCTAGCGAGACGCGTCCATCCTCATCCCCAACAACGTGCAGGCAGAAGCCCTCGCTAAGAGAATCCCCGCTAAGAGCAGCAGCATCCCCACACTGTACAACATCACAGCGTTCCACATCCTGCGCCGCCGAATGACCCTCCCGCAGATGAGGGCAGGTGAAGCTGCGGACAGCGATAGGCACTCAGCTGAGGCAGCCGCTCTTCAAGATGACGCCGATGGGAAAACAACAGCGCTGTGTCGTTTGCTAGGGGGCCGTACTTGAAGGCAGACCAGTGGACCACCATTCCGCATCCCGGGGCTGTATGTGGGGCGATGGTTCATTGCCCATGGGGTGGATCGGGTGATCATTCCCACTTACACCAAAGTATGATGAGGCAGTTGATGGGGATATGGTTTCTGCTGGAATGTCCAGTTGCTTGGCTTTCTTAGCCTTGTTATGGTGTATTGAGACTCCAAAATTGTGAGAAAAAATAGGGAACTCGTTAATGATGGCTGGCATGGTATGGTACCTTCATACCCTGGGTAAAGGTGCAGTTGCGCTTGCAATAAAACGGGAATTAAGGGTGCGCCGAGTTACATAGCATATGGGACGAAAGGACGTGTGTGAGATTACGGTAATTTCACCTGTTTAAAATAAGAAACCCAAGGCTTTAGCTCCTCGCCATTTGCCGTCCACGCAGCAGAAGGGGAGGAGTTAGGTGGGGGAACGGGAGGGAGCGAGGGAGAGAGGAGGGGGGGGGGGGGGGGGGGGGGGGGGGGGGGGGGGGGGGGGGGGTGGGGGGGGGGGGGGGGGGGGGGGGGGGGGGGGGGGGGGGAGGTGGGGGGGGGGGGGTGGGGTGGGGGGGGGGGGGGGGGGGGGGGGGGGGGGGGGGGGGGGGGGGGGAAGGGGGGAGTGAGGTTGGTGGGGGCGGGATGGGAGGCGATGAGGGGGGTGGGTGAGGATGGGGTGGCGGCACAAGGGTGGAGGGGAAACGGGGGGCAGGGGGGGAGAAAGAGAGAAGGGGGAAGGAGGAAAGAGGGGGGAGAATGAAGAGGGTTAGTCGAGGAGGAGGAGGAGGAGGAGGAGGAGGAGGAGGAGGAGGCCGGAGGAGGAGGAGGAGGGAGGAGGAGGAGGAGGAGGAGGGAGGAGGAGGGAGCAGAGGAGGAAGGAGGAGGAGGAGGAGGAGGAGGAGGAAGAGGGGAAGGAGGAGAGGAAGGAGTGGTGGTGGAGCTGGTTGCGATCGTGTTGAGGAAGCGGAGGGCGTGTTTATGTGTGGACGTCCGTCAAAATTGGCATAGCTGGACCATTTAGAAGATTGAGAGCAGACAGTAGGGGCTCCGTCGCATAGCAACCGATTGACTATAATGGTTTTATTGGACACGGTATACATGTCAAGGTTAGCTCTCGACCTTGGGAACCTGTTGTAGGATCTAACCGCAAGAGCCAGCACCACCATCAGCACGGGTATCAAGAACTGCAGCAACAGCTTCAACGTTGACGTACCCTCCTGGCTCCCTCCACCACTGCTTCCGTTTCTACTCGGCTTCTCTGGTAGCGTCGACTCGTCAATCTCACCGACGTAAGTACTGAGCGAGCATGTCTCTGGCAGTCTTACTGTGGCCAATGTCCTCGAAATCATCGGTAGCGTCCTTTGCCTGAAGACGAGCACATCGACAAGTATAAGAGAAAAGCATAGGATGACATCTGTACTTAGTGATTTTTTTTTAAGATCCGTCTGCAAACACGATCTACATGGTTGGGCTTACCGGTAGATGAGACCATGACATCGGATCCACCAGGGATGATCATCCATAAACTTAGTCACGTCATAGACCTGTACAGTGACAAACTCCACTTGATTATCTATAGACGCGGCCTGCGGTAACATATAATCCAGATCTGATTCAAAATGGATAATGGAACCGATTTGAGACGTCGTTACTTCACCTTGCCAGACACGATCAGCCAGCAATCCTTCTCGGTGTTGTGTTTCGACAACCTCCTCTAACGTGAAAACCTTGGGCTTAGTCCTCAAGCCATGACTGAATGTGCGAAACCGAGCACCTTCCCCTTACTGCTCTTTAGCAAAGGCGGAACCGCAGCAGCAACACAATACCTTCTAAGGCTTACCACAAGCTTTCAACGGCGTGGTAGAGGGGGGGTTATACGAAGCCTCTAGAGATACGCAAATCCTCGTAAGTTGATGCAAAATAACCTCCTCACAGCCCGATTCAAAGAAATGGTTGGACGGAGCCTCTGCCTAGATGTTGGGCCGCAGTGCAGCAGGCGAGTCCTTCGCATCGATATTGACGGAGGGTGCTCCCTTGCTTGGCCACAACGAAGTTATTCACCACCTCTTTTGCTGATTGGCCAGTTTGCGATGGCATGTAGGACCCAGAGTGGCTGTTGTTTTGGGCTTGAGAGAGAAGTCCAGACCAGAGCGGTCGCATTCAGTCGTTATACGATTTTTGCGAACACCTAGAGTTGAGGAGAGCGAGCCTCCCCACCAGTTTCCAAGAAGATCTGACACCATGGTTTCCGACGTGGCCTGTACTCAATACTGTTACAGACATAGGCTACTTGTTATGAGTTGTGAAAGGGAAGAGTGCGCAGAACTCAATAATGCGGAAGTGATTCCAACATCTGAGAACACAACGAGGCCTAGGACTAATATAGCGAGCTAGCTAGCCGAGGGTCGCGGGGTCGCGAGATGGTTGGGTGCAGGTTCGGGGGTTTGGGAAACCCGAAAGCGACGCGGTAGTGCTGCGGAAGGCGAGGTCGGCGGACCGAGCCTGGTTTTCCGAAAGTCGGGGTTGTACGCGTACAGTGTGACCCAGTAAGGAATCCGAAAAATTCCTTACACGAGTGCATATTGCATTGGCTGGAATCGGATTAAAGGAGAGTAATAATAATTCTAAGGTCACTCTGACAATATTTCAAAGGTATTTTGCTCGATAATATATGAGGTTATAATGGTACAAAAGGTGTTTAATATGTCGTTCTGCTAAGGGTTTAGGCCATCAGTCCAGACCTTATGAAATGTTGTGCAATGTCTTTATGAAAATTCTGTTATGCAGTTCTGTAAGGAATTTTCTCGGCATTCCTTACGAAGCCCGAATACATCGCGTACAGCAATAGCCGTTGTTTGCTCGTTACTACTGCTAACGGGACTTCGCCAACTTCGCACGCACTGTTTTGCCAAACCTCGCACTGCTGGCCCGGCCGTGTCGGCCTACGCTTCGGGACTAGCCCGAGCCTCGCTGCCAGCGTAGCACTA